ATTAATCCCTTGGTGGTGGTGGTGGTGGTGGCAGTACAATCCTTGCTCTATTGATCAGTCTTGCCATACTTGAAGCAACCAGAACCACCCAACCTACAAAGCCCCCTCAAGAATCTTGCGACACTTGACGCAGTGGCTTTGGCCTTACTGGCCCCACGATCGAGAATCAAAAACCTTGGGCTTCTTTGTTGAACCCTCTGATACATGAGCCTGAACCTGTTTCTTCATCCTTATAGTATGCAAATCAATCTCCAATTCCCAGGCCCTCACTTTCATGTCATCTAGGGTCTTGCAGCTGGACATGCTCATAAATTCTCGTATCTCACTATTCAATATGTCATGGTACCTCGCCTTCTTTAGCTCCTCATCCGCCACATACTGTGCAACTAGTAAATCCCTCTCACGGAACATGGCAGTGATCTCTGCCACAGTTTCACTAGTTTAACGAAGGTCCTGAAACTCCCTTGCTAATTGTTGAACCTCGATCACAGGTGCAAACTTAACCCTAAACCTCATCACAAAATCCTCCCATATCATCATCTCAGTGGTCTCGCCTCACAAGGAATGGTCTACCTCCTCCCACAATCACGAGCTCTATCCTTTAGAAGATGAGATGTAAATCTAACCCTTCGACCCATCGGGGCAGAAACTAGCCCGACATGCATTCAGGATGTCCGCTAACCATCGCCTGCTAACAATAGGGTCCTTCCTCCTGAAGAACTTAGGAGTCCCATATTCACGGAACTCTCGAAAGGTCGGAGAGACTGTACCCACCATATCCACGACCTCAGTACATAATATGTCAGGATGCTCATCCATCATCTCCATAATGCCCTCCTTGATTATATCGAAGATGATAGGAGTCGGCTCTAGAATACCACGAGTGATGTCTGATGAAAATGAAATCTCGCACTTGATCGTCCAAAATTCCGGCCCAGAGCCCAAACATGATCCCTCACCAGAACCTGAACCACCTTGAGTGACCGCGATACTGAAAATAAACAATGCACACCATTAGAAAACAATCAAATAATTCCCACACTCTACATGTTCCTTAGTATTCTCGTGGCTTCCCTTGACTCAACTATGGATCCTGTACTTTTAGTAGTACAGGCCCAATACTACCTTCCACACACATCCATAATTTCCTCAAGGACTACCCGAATCCTCAAAGTTAATCCCTTAATACCAAATACTCGTCAATCTTGACAAACAACGTGCTCGACATTCTAACATAGTTACAACGTTGTCTTAGGATTCCCTTCATACCTCTATCCGCCATCAGCTGCAGAAGAAACTCCCACTAATACCCACTAACTACCTTACAAACACAATTACATGCAATAGGAACTAGATAATTCTTCGACTACAAGGTCTCACACTACAATGGTTGGACTCAAACAAGAGTTGCGTAATAGAGTTAAGCCTATACTTCGAAAACTATCTAATCTATGTAACATGTAACCTAGCATATTCACTTGATAGTTAACTAATAATAACGGAGGTTCCTAAAAGCACAAAGCAAGCAACATTCAATCATCGAGTCTTATACCACCACACCACCTAATTGGGTAATTCTATCCAATCATCTGAAATCCATATTAGCATCCAGTTCTAAATGCTCATATAACCGGTATACAAAGGCATCTTACCTAGAATCTGTCATGCGATTCTGAGCAGATTGTAACATACCTGAAGTTATAAGATAAAAAATCATTTTTAATTTAATCATAAACATCGTTTGGCCTTTTTAATCATTCAAAAGTATATATAAGTAAAAATATCTATCAAAGTATAATCCCAAAATCAAAAAGTTACGGAAACATGGGTGGATATGTTGCAGCAATCAAGCCAGACCCTTCCCCCTCGAGCCGGAAGTACTTGAAAACGTAACCATAAAACCGTAAGCACAAAGCTTAGTGAGTTCCCCAAAATAGTACATGCCATACATATCATTGGGTCTACCCCTCACATTAGGCCCAAAACACCATAATGAGCCTAGCCCTTCCAAGATAATGGGCCATCCTGACATATAAATGCAAGAGGCACAGAGACAGCTAGCAACCTACATAAAATACAATGGGCATAGCCCTCTCTATTTTATGGGCCTAACTCAACATAAAAATGGGCCTATCGCATCACATAGTAGGCCTAGCCCATCATACAATGATCCTAGCCCAACATACCATTCAAGAGTCAAGAGGACAACTAGTATAACAGTTCTTAGTAGGCCGACATTAGTTCCTTCGACCCACGGGTACAGTGAGGTGACTCACCTAAATCATAAATCTGACCACATCTAACTGCTCTCCTGCCAAAATATGGGTGCTCAGCACCTTTTATCAATCTACACAAGGTAAACCACAAGTCTACTTTATAAAAGTAGAATTTGACATAAAGTCAACCAAGCCATAACATAACAGTCAAAGTCAAAGCTGACACATCCTATCAATCCTCATGTCGTGACTAGCCCTTGGTCACCTCGTGAGATATAACTCACTCTGATGCCAACTCATCACAACTCAACTTAGTCAACTCAGATATGGAAAGCCACTGGAGCTGACCTCAAATATTGAGTAGTCTCCTCTCACGTCATAAGCTCCGAATAACTCACTAGAAACACGTCAACCAATTCTGACGCCGTGAGACCCTTATTTCTCACGTTATGAGAACAGTCTGAAGCAAAAATTCCAACTTTTAAGTCCTTCATCCATTAAGCCTTACACTCTAACTTTACAAAAGGTCTTACAAATCCTTAATATACTAGAAATTCGATGCTTTTAAGACATATATGGACAATACATGTCTAGATCTCATTTGGGTCAAAATTTGAATAAAAAGACACCCAACGTTCATGAAAGGTTCGAAAAATCAACCATTCTCTAGATCTGAACTCCAAAACACTATTAAGATCCTTATAATCCATAAAGTTGCCAACTTTATGGTTTCTATTCATTCAAACATGTCCAAGCAAGGAGAAAAGTGTGACAAAACTTAGATTTAACCTCATATAACAATTAAGGAGCAAGCTTTGACACTTAAAATGAATGGTCTAGAGACAATGTAAGCTGATAATGATGATGATTCCTTGTAAACCTCTTCAAAGGATCACCTTCTTATTCTTCTGTTCTTCTTTCAAACCAAGAAAGGATTCAAAATGACCAACGATCAAGAGAGGGATGAAGGCTAGGGTTTTCTGAGGTGAAAGAGGGTTTCGAATCTAATAATGAACCCTAAAATAGGTTTAGAAATGCTTAAATATGAAGGAACCCCTAAAAGATCATGGGCTTGGGCTGCAACAGTTCTTACGTCGTGAGCACTCTATGTCTCACATCGTAAGACCAGTCCCACACAACGATTAATATAAACCCATCTTACATCGCAACCACTCAAAGGTTAGGTCGTGAGGCCCTAACTATTCTAAAATTCCACCTTTCTACTCCTTGAAACCATAATTCGATTCATCCAAGAAAATGGGTGTTACACACATCCTTAGCCATACTCTAGCATGCTATATACGCATACACATACTGAAACAAATAAACATGTATGCTTATTTAGGAAAATACTTACTTGAGTCCGGTTGATTACATACATCGCACCCCCTTTCCTTTATAAAAAAACACCCTTTTGGAAGTGATTTTATTTTGAAAATTTATTAATTCCTCAGTTTTAGTCAAAACACACCCGAGCCGAGAGTGTGTCTGAATCTCTCAAACCAAAGCTCTGATACCAACTTGTAATATCCCAAAATAAATAAGTAAAAAAAAATTAAGTCAACCAAAACACACAATCATTCATTTCAGAAACCCATCAAAGTATGAAAAAGTATAACATAGTTATCAAAGTAAAAATCATACATAAAATGTAGGACACTAATGGATGCAATGCAATCACATCGATCTCTTCTCATTGGAACCGAAAGTACCTGAAACATAATCATAAACCATAAGCACAAAGCATAGTAGGTTTTCCTAAAATATCGCATTCCATAAATACATCGGGCCCCACCTAGCATATGCATGACGTACACATGGCTTTATGTGGGTTAAGTAATACGAAATTAAAAAAAATAAATCCGGATTTTAAGGGTAATTAATTCTCTTACTTTAAAGTTTTTAAGAAATTCGAATTATTATTGTAACTTTTTGTTTATTTATGATAAAGCAAATTTAATTATGTAAAAGAATTTTTGTTACATTTGCATTCTTGACAGAATACATTGTCATTCTTGACATAATATGTTTTCATCTTGATAGAATATATTTTCATTCTAGATAAAATACGTTTTCATTCCTAAAAATGTAATTTTGTGGATCTAAGAAATATGTTTTCTGATTTAAAGTTTTTAACTTTCAACATTAAACATTGAATTAAATTAAAGATCGGAACACTTAAGACTCAAGTATCAACAGTCAAAAATAAATATTTAACGTTAGAATGAAGAATCATAAAATTCTAAAACTATTATGTGAGAATGACAATGAAACCAAAACTCATTTTGATAAAATTATTGCATAATAAGATATTTTTGGAAAATGATAACTACAATAAGAATACAAATAAAAAGAATGAAGGTTGTCAAATTTTGAAAGAATACAATGGCCATGCTTGAAAGAAAATACTAACACGACATATACTTTTTTAATAAAAAATAAAAAATGTTTAAAAAAATATATATATGGTATATCAAATGCATTGTAAAAAAAATGTGGCCTTCCCTATACAGTCCATCCCCTACTTGTAAACCTTAAGCGTTTTCAGCTCTATGAAACTTTAAATTGATACATTCGGTAATGGAATTGGACACCAGTCATATTCAATTATTATGCAATTATCGACACATACACATACATAATGTTAGTGTTTCATGACTAACTTCCCACCTTAGTCTTGGTACGGGTTGAGGTGAGCCGTTCACACTCTGTGGTTTCAATTTTTAGTATACTTGGGCTGATTGAAATATATTTCTTCAGAAAATATTTAAACTTTAAAGTATACTTTTTGAATCCATTGGGTTTTACTATAATGCACACTTATTCCGCATTTTTTTCATTGTATTGAGATTTCAAACATCCTCGAAATTCATCAAATTATGTTCTATCAGGATTTTATATTTCAACAGCTCTGTAAAGGTACGGATAACTGCATATTTGACGTTCCATAACATAAGATTTTACATCAGAACACCAATTATTTCAAGTACACATACATAACGTAATTACGCACAAACTATATTATACTTCACTCCATTTTCTTATGAGATTCAAGGAAATTACAAGGGCTAGCATTAATGAAAGTAGACTCTCTACCCTCCGGTAAAGGTAAGGTTGGCAACATCTAACTTCCCATTATCCTATTTGTGTTATGGGTTTACTGTATTGTTATTGTTGACACTAGGAATAGCGTTGTCGAGTTCTCCACCTGCAAGAAAGAAGTGCAACATCGTGATCAATTCACTACTCCAAATTAATATAAGACCCAAACAAGAAAATAAGCAGCCGTCATATGTGTTTCTGTGTATAGGATTATACCATCAGGATGAAGAAATGTGCCCGTATAGTAGGAAGAGTCCTTTGACGCGAGGAATACATATGATGGAGCAATCTCGACTGGTTGAGCTGCCCTATTCATGGGTACTTCTGACCCAAACGTCGCAATATCATCGTCATTGAGTGATGCAGCTTCGAGTGGGTCCAGATAGGGCCAGGGCCCACACCATTAACACGAATCCCCTTGTCAATCAGGAATATTGCTAGACTCTTGGTGAAGTTCACAATGGCTCCCTTTGTTGACGCGTAATCAATGAGTTTTGGACTTCCTGAGAATCCTAACGCTGAAGTGGTGTTTATGATGCTGCTTCCTGGTTTCATGTGCTTCACAGCATGCCTATACATTCAATTCATCACAACCCATCAAAACCAGATGTGAAAAATAAGCGTCCTCGGTGGAGTATCACAATGCTTCGTAAAAAATACTTAATCTTTTTTTGAAAACGACTCTTCTTTCATCTACATAGTTTAAATGACAGAGAACTAACATGAATTGTTGCTAAATTGTTTCAGTTACTACTACTTCAGTGCAAAATAATCAATTTATTTAACAAGCGTCGCATTTCACTAATTTTGTGTAAAGATATTGGAAGAACACTTTTCTTTCCTTGAGGTAAGAAGGTGTCAGAAGCATGGGTGCTAGACACTCACCATTCCAAATACCATATGTTTAATTCAATTTCAAAAAGCTCTACAAACCACTCCCTTGATTTTTCTCTTATCACCTATATACGTGAGAGAAGGTTTCCAACAAAACCTTCAAATTCTCTTTTAAAATGAATCAAGATTCCACACTAATTAAATAAAAATATACTATAATTTCCAAGAATCACCTACTGGGTTGGAATGTTTTCCTCATACTCTAGTAAGCCATTCCAAGATGCTATCATGAAGATTATAGCGATTATCATCTTACCACACAAGGTTCAAATAACAATTCCATGCAAGAAAAAGCACTACTCTTTTTTTTTAAGCACTTAAAAGGGTTCCAATAATACTGCAAAAAAGGTATAAATTGTTTTAACTAGGGAGAGCTCCATGATTTGTATGGGATTAGATTTACCATGGATATAATATGAGATGGCTTTTGATTATCTTCAACCTATGTGGGACAAGGTTTTGAACCAAACTTTATATATTATCATCAAATTGAATTGAGATTCCACAGAATATTGCAATTTATTTAAGCTTTAACAATTACCCAAATTTGAATACAAAGAAAATGCACATACCATGTCATATAGAGAGAAGGGACTCAATCATAAGTTAGTGAAGCCAATGATAACATGTACAAGTCTCGATTTCACTAAACCTTTTGGATAAAATAAGGCCATAATTAAACACAAAACCACACAATTGATTCGGAAAACATATACAGACAGGAAGAAACATAGCAAATGTTACTCTGCAAATTGCAATGTATTTCATATTAATTTTAAACAAGAATCCCATTTTAAGACTCTCGAAACTCTCCTTCTTGGGGCAAAGTGAAGTTCTCAAGGAAAAATATAACTGGTGAAAGAAAACAAATAATAACTTGAACATTAAGAGGCACACCTTGTCATGAAGAAATGGGAGAATATATTAGTTCTAAATATCCTTTCAAGCCTCTCTTCCGTGATATCATCTAATGTATATGTTTCATACTGCACAGCTGCGTTGTTCACAAGTACATCAATTCGTCCATATGTCGCAACCACCTTATCCACAACATCTTTACAATTCTTTTCATACCTCACATCAGTAGGTATTGCAATTGGATCACCTGCATCACACATTTTTGAATCATTTATCATCTCTAAGGTATACTTTGCATCTATGTCTTCGACACCTTTCACATAAGTGAAGGCTATAGTTGCACCCTCCTTAGCAAAAGAGTAGCAAACAGCCCTCCCAATACCCGAATCCCCTCCTATCACCAAAGCCACCTTTCCCTACACCAAGAAAACGAAAAAGAAATTACGTTAGATGGTTTTTTCATATAGGATACAAGCGGACATGATTTCGCTTCTTCTGTTTTATTGCTTTCGGCAAAAGCAAAAAGGTTCGATATTTACACGTTTTATCTTTAGAAACCTTTTGCATTGAAATCAAATGCCAATTACGATAAGTATAAAATTAGAAGCTTCATACAGAAATGATTATGGATTCGTCTAATTTAGCTGAAGTCTATTGGGTGACCAAATGACAAGAATAATAATATTCAAGAAAGGAAGTGTACTTGGAGTTTGTTAGTGGGCTTGTAATTAGGATCGCTGAATACTGGGAGAGGATCCATCAGGTACTCCTTCCCGGGTTGACCATCCTGATGCTGTGGTGGGAATCGTCGTTCGCCTTCTTCCCTCTGCATGGCCTTCGCCTAAAATTAAATAGTTACCAAACTCCAGTTAGGGTAATTGAATGCTTGTGAGTTTTTATCATCAATGGCTGCTCGGATTTGAAACAGAAAAAATGTAAAATTCCTACCACAAGAATACATTCCAATGAAAATTAGCATATTATGAATAGAAGAGAATTAACAGACCTTAAAGGTGTGAATAGAAGATGAACCATGTCTTAAAACACATGTTGTCGTTGCTACAACATCATTATTGCTAGTTCCTGTAGAAGGACGTGAAGTCAACAACCGCCGTGAGTGCAAACATGAGTTTTGTGTGATTGGTATTCTACTGGAGACTGAACCCACCAAACGAACCATCACCGAGCACAACATGACTTACGATGGATGGATGAATGAATGAAAGACCTCGTCATATATAGGGAGATTTTTTTCTCAAAGTCAAATATTTCATTAATCTGAAAAATAAGTCCGACTAACCACATTAATGACAATTTGGTCTCTTTCTAACCTTGCTTAGACATGAAGATGTACCTCACCGCTCATTTCTTCTATGTCACGTTTGTTTTGTATTCACTCCCCAATTGCCAAGAAATTATTGGGGCCTAAGGCAAAAAAAAATAAAAAAAAATAGACCCCTTATTTATTTATTTATTTTTGTAAAGGAGGGAGTACCTTTGGAAATTTTTATTAATTAAAAATAATAATAAAATGAAAGTTGGGGCCCATCTATGGGAAAAAGGCTTCATGACAGTCCCCGAAAACCAAACAACCTACCGATTATTAATACGAAAAAACAACAAAATTCAAATGCCAGAATATGCTCTTGACCTTAATTCGTAAACATAACAATGAAAAATTAAAGAAATTTACATTTATAAATTTTTTTAAATGCAAAATCATCAATTATTGAATCAGTTCAATATTATCCTATAAATCTTTTTCAATGCATAACATAACAATATCATTTAATATTTCTTGTTACATTGATAATCTCCAAATAATATTTTAAAAATTTTAGTTTGAAAAATTCATTTCGATGCTACAGTAACATGTATGGTTTATAAGATTTTATATACAATACAAATATTTGGACAACAATTTGTACCTTTGTCAAACTTTAAAATTTCAACCAATGACATAACAACATTTAGCAAATTCTTTTTTAATACTTTAAGTTCTGTAAAAAAAATCATTTACATCTACATCACATAAGTTATTATGAGTAAACTTATTTATAAAAATAGTACAATTTTTTAAAGTTAAATATAATCCATTGACTTTAACCTTTTTGAATCATATAAAAATCCAAACATGATTTCAGGGTTTGTTAATAGACTCTTTCGATTGGAGTTTTATCAAGATTGTTGGTTAAAAGATAGGTGGGGGCAAAATCAGTGGGTTTGGAATTAGAGACATGTAACTCGTGGGGGTAGGGAAGAACACCAATTGGAGAACATCTTGGAGGTCTTACAAGGTGCCCTCGTTTTCGGTTCTTAGGACCAACTTATGTGGCCTCTTGATAAGCTCAAAGTTTTTTCGATGAAATGTACTAGAGACTATGTTGATGAGGTTATGTTACCAGCTAATTCACATCCCACTAGATGGTGTAAGGCTCTTCCGAGAAGAGTTAACATTTTTAAGAGGAAACTTTTACTAGATAGATTGCGTAAGTGTTTCAGTCTTTCCAAAAAGTGAGTGGATTTGAGCAATAATGAATGTCAGTTTTGTAATATGGGTGGAGAGAATGTTGTACATTTATTTTCTAAATGTCAGGTAGCTATGGTTGTTTGGGGTTTGATGGAGAGATGGTGTGGAATCATGGTGTTGCAAAAGATATCACCTATTTAGCTTTAAATTTATAACCTAACTACTTATCTACTAATACACTTATAGGCGGTGTACCTAGTCAGTTTATAATATAATAAAGTAAGTTAGGTATCGAACACAGGGTGTAACATCCAAAAAATTGAGACCAAAAGTTTTTGTTTTAATTATATTGCTTATAACACTTGTTTAAGGAAAACATTACTGATATCATATTAATTCATAAACCATAGTGACATGTCTCAAAAACCATATCATTAATTAGTAATAATGTCAGAGTACAATCCCAGAGATCTCAAATGCGGAATCATGTGTCACAATTCTAGCCGTCTCCACATTTTCTTTCTTTATAGAACCGAGAATGGGAAGAAAGGGTGAAAGAAAAGAGTGTTTTGGGCTTATATTGGATGTTCTTGAAATTATAAGGCCCAATATGAAAGTTTTCGACCCATTTGGCCCTCTCTACTGGTTTACAGCCAAAAAATGATGAAGGACTTGAGTTTACGGCCCAATAATGCTCATGAAAGCATAGTAAGACGTTTTAGGCCCAATAAAGCCCATAAAGTATTATGGCCCGAAATGTTACAGTTTAATGAATGTGGGTGTAATTTGGGCCCAAATGAGGATTCTTAGCCTAAAAGAGTAAAGTTGAGAGTTTATTGGTCCATTAGGCCCAATAAATATTTGAACTGGGAAAAATTAGGGTTACAACCCATAGTTGAGTGAGTGTAGTATCTTGTATTTGGCTTAGGGCTTCATGAGTGAGTTTTGAATCAAATAGTTTTTTTTTAATGTATAATGTGGATATCATCTAACTTTTAATTACAAGATACATTGAGAGTTAACGATCCATGGATAGAATTTCCTAAGCAATAATGCTAGTTTTGACACTACTGACCCCTCAATCGAGAATCAAAAACCTTGGTCTTCTTCGCCGAGCCCTCTAATACCTGATGTTGAACCTGTTTCTTCATCCTTATAGTATCAAAATCAATCTACCATTTCCAGGCCCCTACTAGAATGTTATTTAGGGTCTTGCAGCTGGACATGCTCACAAATTCCTATATCTCACTCTTCAACATGTCATGGTAGCTCGCCTTCCTCATCTCCTCATTCGCCACATACTGTGGAACCAGTAAAACTCTCTCACAGAACATGGAAGTAATCTACGCTACAATCACTAGTTTGACGAAGGTCCTGAAACTCCCTCACCAGTTGTTGAACCTCGATCACTGGTGCAAACTTAACCCTAAACCTCGTCACAAAATCCCTCCATGTCATCGTCTCAATGGTCTCACCTTGCAAGGAATGGTCTACCTCCTCCCATCAATCACGAACTCTATCCTTCAGAAGACGAGATGTATATCTGACCTTCGAACCCTCGGGGAAGAAGCTAGCCCGAAAGGCATTCACAATGTCCGCCAACAATCGCCTGCTAACAATGGGGTCCTTCCTCCTGAAGAACTCAGGAGTCCCACATGCACGAAACTCTCGAAAGGTCAGAGAGCGCGCACCGACCATAGCCACGAACTCAGTACATAATGCGTCGAGACGCTCATCCATCATCTCCATATTGCCCTCCTTGATCATATCGAGATTACATGAGTCTGCTCCTGAAATACTGTGAGTAATCTCTGGTGAAATGAACTCTCGCACTTGATCTTCCAAGAGTCCGTCCCTAGAGCCCGAACCTGATCCCTAACCAAAACCTGCCACCTTAAGTGACCACGATACTGAAAATAAGCAATTCCAACCATTAGAAAACACTCAAAGAATTCCCACACTCTACTTGTTCCTTAGTATTCTCGTGGCTTCCCTTGACTCGAGTATGGATCCTATGCTTTTAGTAGTACATGCCCAATACTACCTTCCACACCTATTCGTACTTTCCTCAAGGACTGCCCCGAATCCTCAAAGTTACTCCCTTACTCCCAAAATATCCGCCAATCCTACTAAATAACGTGCTCGACATTCTAACATACATATTACGTTCTCCTAGGATTCCCTTCACACCTCTCTCCGCCATCAGCTGTAGAAGAAACTCCCAATAATACATAATAACTACCTTACGAACACAATTACATGCAACAAGAACTATATAATTCTTTGACTACAAGGTCTCACACTACAACGGTTAGACTCAACCAAGAGTTGCATACTAGAGTTAAACCTAAACTTCTAAATGCTCATATAACCGACACCACCTAATTGGGTAATTCTATCCAATCATCTGAAATCCATATTAGCATGCAGTTTTAAATCCTCATATAACCGACATACAAAGGCATCTTACCTAGCATTCTACCACGCGATTCTCAGCAGATTGTAACGTACCAAAATTGAAAAGATAAAAATTCATTTTAATTTGATCATAAACATCGTTTAGCCTTTTTAATCATTCAAGAGTATATATAAGTAAAATTAGTTATCAAAATGCGATCCTAAAATCACAAAGTTGCGGACACATGGGTGGATATGTTGCAATCAAGCCGAACCCTTTCCTTTCAAACTAGAAGTACCTAAAACCATAACCATAAAACTGTGAGCACAAAGCATAGCGAGTGCCCTAAAATACATAAGTAAGATAAAAATTTAAGTCAACCTAACACCAATTCATTCATTCCAGAAACCAATCAAAGTATGAAAAAGTATAACATAATTATTACAGTAAAAATCATATATAAAATGCAGGACACTAGTGGATGCGATGCAATCATGTCGATCTCTTCTGTGATAACCCGATATTTCAACTCTTTGTAATAGCCTAAAAAGTCAAGTATTGTAACCACTTTTGTGTTAAAGAAACTAACTTTGATAATAAAATGTCCAAAAAGTTTCTATTTAACTACCTGCTATGTTTAAATATCATTAAACCAAGATCGTACGTAAAAAGAATGCCCAAATCCGGCTTCGTATACTGAAGTTAAGATTTTTCCAAGTTCAGCTTAGCAACAGACAGCTAAAAACTCGAATCGAAGATCGAACGACTTTGGGCTGGAATGACCTAAACGAGAATCGAAGGTCTCGACAATGGTATTTCAGCGGTAAAAAGTCTGGCAAAAACCGACGTCAGATAAAGAAGTTATGAATTTTTAAAGAAATTCCTTAATCACGACATTTTATAAATAAATAATAAAAGTAATTTTGGAATTTTCCGACGGAATCTAAACGAAAGTTGTAGAGTATGGTCTCACCTTCGCGGGGATATAAAGAACGTCGAAAACGGAGCTCGTATGAAGAAGATATGAATTTTTGAAGTTTATTAAATAAATTATATATTTATTTAATTAAAAATCCGGTATTATCCGAAGGGGGAGTCAGCATACTCATCCGAGTTACGCGCCGCGTAACCCCGTACGCCCCGCGTACGCGAAGGCCTTGGCCTCAGATCGTCCACGTTGCCCCTATGCGAGCCTATCCCCCCCCCCCCCGGTCCCATCCAAAGTCCGAGGCAGTCGAGGACTCGGTCATGCATGACGTACACGTACGCCCCACATACGAGCGTACGCCCCGCATACCGAGGCGGTTCCAGCCTCCTATAAATAGGGATGCAAGGGTTCCCGGAAAAATTGCTCATTCTCTCTCACTTTTCTTGCGTTTTGCCTCGTTTTCCGTGCCCGCACTACCCCGAAGCCCTGATCATTTTGCTCAAAGTCCCGAAGGTCGATTTTACTCCCGAGATTCCCGAGGATCCCGA